CTGCTGAACTGACTTCATAACCCACTAATGGGTTGTAATCTGCAGTTTGACAGACGATGGTCTAAATCAGTGCTTTGCAAACTTTAGTGCATGAAAGAATCAACTGGAGACCTTGTTAAAACAGCCTGCAGGGCCCTACCCTCAATGATCCTCCTTCCTTAGATCAGGGCTGGACCTTGAGAATGTGCATTCTAACAAGCAGCCCAGTGATGCTGATGCCACAAGACGTCTGACCATCTTTGGAGACGTACTGGTCTAAATGACACTCTCCTGTACATAATCAGAACTGTTGTTTTAATGTCTCAGAGACCAGAGCCCCAGCTCTTTAAAATTTCTAGTATTTGAAGCTTTTTTATGCTTTGTTTTTCTTCCTCCTGACAGGGTTAAATGATGATATTTGACCACAGACTTTTGGGGTTCACAATTAGTTTGTATTGTTAAATCACTTCATGTTGACAAATTTGGTGACCAGAAACCCACACTGGAACAGATAAGCTAGTTGTGGGATCCTCAATAAAAATACCTGACCAGTCATTTTGCTGTTCTCTAGTTGAATTGCAATTGGAGTGAGTCTCTTCCCTTTGGCACTGACTCTTTTTTGTGTTTATCTTTCCTCTGTTGCCCACTCTTTTAAAGCTGTGATGGATCAGGCCTTTGACAAGTAGGACAGCAGATCTGCACCGGGCAGAAGACCTGTCACACCCCTTAATCTGCTCAGTTAGGCTCACAGCCTCCCAACCATGCTGTCCTGCAGTCAGCACCAGCCCTACACTGTTTGCTAAAGTCTCTGCCATCCCACTTTCCTCTCATTATAGTATTTAAAAGATGGCCATGGGGCTTCCCTGGTGGTGCAGTGGTTGAGAGTCCGCCTGCCGATGCAGGGGACGCGGGTTCGTGCCCCGGTCCGGGAAGATCCCACATGCCGCGGAGCGGCTGGGCCCGTGAGCCATGGCCGCTGAGCCTGCGCGTCCGGAGCCTGTGCTCCGCAACGGGAGAGGCCACAACAGTGAGAGGGCCGCGGACCACAAAAAAAAAAAAAAAAAGGCCAAGGTTTTGCCTTCTTTTTTGGGGGGAGGGGTACCTAGTCTCCTTACCAAACTATAGGACTGTATGTATAATTACCTATCTTTAAGTAGGCTTTTTTTCCTATTCTTATATTTCATTGTTAAAGAAATAAATGAGGCATCTAAACATTAAAATTTATCTTAATCCACCCTACAAAAGATTTTAG